TTCGAACCTACGACCTCAGGGATAAGAGTCGCATGCTGAAGCCACTAGGCCAACATTGCTCACGCTTGTTGAACATTTTCATAAAAATCGATTTGCGTTAGTCTGTGGTAAGTTTTTGTCTAGTAGCCCAAAGAAACAAGTGCGTGTGCTGAGCTCAGTTCATTATACTACAAGTAAAACAATGTAAATTTCCCTCAAACAAATAAATATTTATATGTCAGTATAAAAACCACTAAACCGTGCGTGAAATGTATGAATGAATTCCACATTCATTGAATTGTATGTTTCCTCTTTCCTATTAGTTTTCCTGTAAACGCAATTTGTACAAAATTTAAATACCGCATAACCTTAACCACGACATATGGTTTCTGGTGTCAATCACCTTTTTAGCTTGGTAAAAGGTTCCTGAAAAATTCTATCTATATATTGCAGAAAGTGACACATGATTCGCATATAAAATATTTTATGATCAAATAAAAAATCAATTTCACCGGACGAAGAAGAGCTTGGTCTTCCCTGGTAGATAGCAAGTCGAATATACGGACATTTTCGCGCTAACACTTTCTTCTTACCCTAGAAACCTGGTTACCTGGTGTAAAATGAGTTCCACGCATCCTCGATGGTAATTATTAAACCAGTACAAAAGTTCATACATGGACATAAAACATGCACCTATAATTATGAATCCATGGCATACAAAATATTTCATCAGAACTCGACCAATTTGCAGAAGAATCTTATATGAAACTTAACTATCAATCTCATTACTAAGTACTTATTTATAACGGGTTAGTAGTAAACGCCTACAAAAACAAATAACTTGAATAGCGCATCACACCTTCACATCTGAATCAGACGGTGTTTCATTATGTTCTTAGAATTTAATATTTCACGAAGACGGAATATTAACTTTTCCTCATATTACTCGTGTTTTCAGAATATTGTTCTTCGTACGGTTTTCTTAATCTTATATACATATCTTTAAAAGTATTTTGAAAGTACATATATAAATACAATCTTCGGTTCATTAATATGTATTGACATGATCTGTGTCTGTGTTACCATTATTGCTTGCTGTTTGACGTATGATTTATGAAAACGCGGTATTATAGAATAAGCTGAAAAATACTTTATTATAGAGTTTGCAATGTCTATGTTTGACGAACCGTTAGGTGATGACTTCTTATGCTTTTTGCTAGATTCATTTAGATAATTATTTAACAATTTACCGTGTGTATCATAACAACGATAACGGAACCGAATCGTGCGCACGCATCGTACGCATTACATTTGTACATTCTTCTATTACACATATAAGGGTATCGATTGATTAGACATTTATTCATTTGAACACTTCCGATATTCGTTTTTATGTGATAGGGTTGCCAGATTTAAAAAAAAAATTATATATTTTATTTTAGGAAAACTTTTAATTAATAAACAATTATTCGTATGATAAAATCGTTTTTTTTATTGTCAATAATCCTCAAAAAACAGGAAAAAATGGTTGGGAAAAATTTAAATAGAGAGAACTAACACTATACACTTAACACACAAACGGAACACGTTATGATGCCTTATGAGCTAAGAAGTTCCGCTGCTACCTAATTTTTTTGATTTTCTACTCGACACATTTATCATTGAAATCTATTATCTAAATGGAAATCAGTAAAGAAATGAAGTAAGAGATAACTTTGATTCTACCACACATTGCGTATAACATTTTGAAGTTGTCCATTTAAAGCGATTAGCTAAAAATATTTCTATTGTATCAAAAGTAATATGATTTACTAAAACTGTTTTTGCCGTGATTTTTATCATATACACAAATGAATAAATATAGTTGTCGAGTAAGCGCGTGACGAATAATAATGAAGAGTATATGCGACAAAATTGCCGCAAACTTCGTCCAATAATATATTAGAACGCGGTCATTGCACTGATACACTACTATTGGCAAGACTTGCTTGGTCTCATTTTCAAACGAAAAGACACTTTTCTTTGTTCGACGACTTTTTGTATTATTATTGGAAGCTGTATGACTCCTGTATGTCAAGTTTAATACGTTTTTGACATATTAAAGTCACCCTTAGTATTTTATATTGAATTTAAGAGTGAATCTAACGCTATACTCAGAGACATTGAGATTTAATACTTAATTTAGCAAAGATTAAATATGTACAATAAAGCTTTAATTTGCATTATATATTATAATATGCACTGTTATATATTATAATAGTTAATCTTTTTAGATAACATTAGAATTTAGTTGATTAAGAATTCGGCCGTTAGTGCTTTCAGGGGTCAGTTATTTTTTTTAGATGGTATAGTTTTGATAGATATAATGCGAAAAGATTGCTGCTTAAATAAAAATTTAAAGGCCGGTAAAGCAACCGCTGGGTGTCTTTCAGCTACGTTTGCCAACATCATAAACAATTTACAAAGTCGCTTCTAAAACATAATTGTCAAACTAAAACCAGGTTATAAAGACATTAAACATTCTTACGTACAAAAATATGTTCTGGTCTATGGATCCATAAATAACTATTATAGGCGTGTTATTCGATTTTAATATTAGTTAACTGGCACTCCTGCGCACATTGCGAGTCATAGTAACGTCATGCTACTCATAACAGTTTGGAACGATGTTATATACAAATATATTATAATAATACCTATTTATTATGATAAACGATCATATGTGAAAAGACAAGTACCTACTTACGGGTAATGGGGCATATACGTTTGAAGTTGTACTTCTTTAGCCGTTATGAAAAATTATAGAGTGAAATTTTACGATTGCGCCCACCTATGACACAAAATTGGCAGTTATATATGCGCGACAATGGATAAGACAAACTACAAGTAAAGAAATAGAATATGCGTGAAGCTAACTTCACCATATTCTAACTTAGCAACTTAACAAAATTTTGAATGACCATACAATTGACATCTGACAATGACATTTACCTTTTAAACTAATATAGGAGTTTTAATTATTGTTTAAAATTAATAATTATATACCTAGTTATTTTCATTATACAAAATATTTGTGAAATAATATAAAATATTTGTAAAAAACTGTGCTAACCTTCCTGAGTGCTTCAATACAATTGAGGTTAACTATCCGTATGTATTATCGAGTATTATTGTTGATTAAAACTGAAACATGAACCATTATTCATTGCTTTTGTTTATTGCGTTTGTTACAGCAACTTTTTAGAAATATTCTACACCCTTTATCAATAATTGAGAACAAAGATTTAAGCACAATACTAATAAGGAGAAAATGAAGGCTTGGAGCATATACAGAGAAGTAAACATTTTAATAAGTACCTCATCTCAAAAAAATGACCACATTATTTAATCAAAACTCAGATTTAATCTACAAATATAAGGACAAGAGACAAAAAACAATTATGAATCAGTGGAAGTGCACTAAATTGAATACAAAAAAGAGTTGTCATCTTATCGCCTGAAACTCAAAAACTGAGGTGGAACAAAGCCACCATCACCTTCTCAACACAATGGTTTGAAGTAGATTTCCAATGAATTTGATTGTGATGGTGTCGAGGTAGGAATGTTACTTATAAATATGATGTATGGTGATGTTCAAGGTTCAACCTTTCAAGCATAGGCATATCTTACATCATTACTTTATTCCCCTACAGGGTAGTTAGAGATATTGTAATACCTCAAAACATCCATGTTCACTTGTAGTACCGAAACTCTGTCCTCCAAAGTGAGCCCATTCCACTTATAATGGACATTACACCTTAATACCTGAGTCGAACCACTCACCATATACTTAAATTAATAGATGTTATTTATATATTTCAGGTTATTACAAATAAAATCATTTTGGAAACAATTGATATCCCAAACAAATAAACCAACAATGACAAGGTATAAATCAGTTTTGACTAACTTGAATACTAAAAAAGCCAAACAAAGTGTCCACATGACACATAACTTAACAATTTCATTATTTTGTAGGATTAAAGAAAGGTTAAAGAAAATCATGTCGAACTGAACAACAAAATCCCCAAACAACTCCAAAGAAACCTACAAGGAAGACACCGGTATTATATTTAAATTATCTCTATCTCTAAATAGAATAAAAAGAAAGTTGCTATCCAGGTCTGTAGCATGTGCTACAAATTATATTATTAACACATTTATATAATTATATTAATATAAATGTGTTAAAAATTTATAATATGAATTATAAAAAATTTTAAGTTTTGCATGGACAGAGCTTAAATTAATATTCTCTTATTTGTTGCAGAAAGCAAGTATGTTTTGGAGAAGCCTCGTAGATGCACAACCAAGTAATGATTAATTTAAAATTACAAACCCGGGAAATTCTGATGAAGACATTAGAGTCACTTAAAAATAAATAGTATAATGAAATAAAAATGTTTTAAAGATAAATAGTGTTTTATTTGTTTAATGTAAGAGAATAATAATAAATATTTATTTAATTAATTTTTCAAATGTAAACTGAACTTTATTGACTTTAATGACTCCTTTTCCAGTCTTTTGATTATTTAATTGTAATTAATTATTTGCATGCAATCAAAAACTATTTTTTAATAATGCCAAAGAAGTATAACTTCTTACGCGCGTACATAAGTACACGCACCCTTTTTGTAATATTCTGCGCCTTTACACCGAAATGTTTTTATGGAGGCTTTATGCAAAATGTTTTGAATTGCAAAAGTAATCTTATTTCGAGTATACGTTATATTTATTACACAGTAATTTAATACCTTGTACAAAATTAAACATGGTTTGAATTACACACCAGAATGTGGTTTTGGATACGATTTAATACATAAACAGAACTAATATGTTATATATGTCATTATTATAAATTAAGCCTAAGAAATCGTTCCAAATTTAAAATTCCAACGCCGTTAGCAGTTTTCTTTATTATGTAACAGGCCATACAGAATATTTTATTCCTTACTTAAATATAATATAATTCTAAATATGAAATGTTACTTGTTTCAGAATTCTTCCGGAAACTACTACAGCTCTCGCGCGAGGAGTTCCACGCTATGTTCAAGCGCACGTACGGCATGATCTACGAACAGCATTCCTATGTCTTCGTGCAATTGTTTGAGCAATTGGAAAGGTGAGATATTTGGTCTGACGTGTATAGGTCGATCGCATATTGAAAAGTGGATATGCGTCGTATTTTCAAAATATAATTTTGTGTCTGTATTTTGCGGTAAGTGGGTACTATTACCGGCCGAAGGGCACTGTAGGCTGTTCACCCAATTTGCTCTATTAACGATTCCATCTTAATATATATAAATTACGTGTAACGTTGTTTGTCCGCTATGGACTCCTAAACTACCGAACCGATATCAATCAAATTTGCACACTGTGATGATCCAACTTAAAAGATAGGATAGCTTGCATCTCAATTTATACCCGCAATATTATTTTATTGCAAAATATCTGTTTATTATTTGATAGTCACAATGCAAACAGATGGCGCTGTATTGAAAGTGCCAACGTTTCACATAAGCTACAATTTAATGGCAAAACCACCAAAAAAGCATGGTAGTCCCCATGACTGGTGTTCTTCTACTGTTTCCCATGAATAGGTTACTACTATGTAATATAACTAAAACCTTAGCCACAGCAACGCTTGGCCGGTCTGCTAGTATACTATATAATTTTTATTACACAGAACATTTATCTAAGCACATTTTTGACTTCCAGATATTACACACGCGGCGATACCAATTTCGACGAGATGATGGACAGTTTCTTTGGAATCCTATATCAGAAGATGTTCACGGTCCTCAATTCGCAGTACAGCTTTGATGAGAAGTAAGTCCAACTTTTTAGTAATTTCATGTTCGAAGAATTCTACTAAATTATATTTATATTTGCAAATAACAGCCTATTATGGTTTTGCACATGGTGTCTAAGGGAGCGTTCAAGTAACGAATTTTGGGGGGGGGGTCCTTTTGTAAAACGTTTAGGTATAAAGAGTCACTAGGTGGTCACGAAACGTTTTACTATACTTGGGTATAGAAAAACGTTACGGAGCGTTACATGGGGGGGGGGTCAATAATCTCCAAAAATTTCGTGACGTAATACTTGAACGCTCCCTAAGTCCTAGATGACGAAGCGAATCCCGACGAAACAATAATAGTTTCTGGTTGGCACAGCCTTATTAAGCATTCTGTCTTGCTTCGGAAAATCGGTTGCAGTAATTCTTAAAATGCTTACGAGTTAATAAAATATTACTACTTAATTTAAGTATACAGATTTGTTGTAGAAAAATCAATCTTTATGAAGTCACTATAAGGTTCATTTTAATATAACAAACTTGATGTGTACAATAAAACCATAAAAGAGTCAGAGTCGACACTTTTATATGCACACCTAAACAAAATAGTGACACACAAGTATCATTTTGCTCGTTAGTCATCTTTGTAACATTTTATTTTAATGTTTTGCTTTGATCTTTTTTAATAGAGAATGTCCAGGCACCAATAGAGGCCTTTATTTAATCAAGTCATTTATTGACGAAACTCTTCGTATATTAACGCGTTTCAAAATTATACGTTTCTAAAATAAAAAGTAACAAGTCCGGATCACATTCATTGAAAAATATTTAAATATGGAATTCATAAAATCATAGTATTAATTAGTAAGACTGGAGTAGTAACAAGTATTTATTTCTCCATATTTTTCACTTACTACGAACTATCGCATGTTTAAGTAAATTAAACAATCTATTATATTACTGGTATGATCTCGCATGTCGGATATCATGGCAATTATCACCAAATATGGTAATAATGAACGAAATTATAACAACGTAGCGTGGAAATACCGAATTTTTGATAAACTTATAACCTAATAAGACCTAATTGTCGAAAATATGTTTTTTTCTTAGTATACGATAACTTATCGCACATAAAGTTTATAATTCGTAAGATTTTTACCAAGTACTTAAGGAAAAATACCAAATAATCAAAATTGTATTTATTAAGAGGCAAACTAGGTAACTTTTTGGATAGTTTGTGAAATAAAATACATTTTGATATTACTCATCGATGTTATTGTTATGAGTTGGTTGCGCTTTTAACTAGACCTAAATCGTTATTTTGACGAATAAACGATTACATTTATTTATTTCTAAGAAAATATTATAATTAAAACACAAATTGTATAGGCACAAATACATGAAAATTAAGGCAAAATCGTAATTTTCGTTGCTTTTTATAAAATGACATACACATCAATCAGATAATAAGTATTAATACAACACATACTATAAATACTAACGATGTCCTTAGAAATGATTACTTAAAAGTCAAATCAAGAGCGAAGGATCGAATACCAAAATCGGGTGTAAAAAAATGTATGTCGTCACATACTAGAGTCATAGTTCGTGCTAAGTCTCCTTTCTGCATCTTACATTAAGAGTCCAGGGCCATATCTACTCGGTACATGAAAACATTTGTACATTAGTTAACCTGGAATTTATATCCAAGATTTGCATATAACATATTGTATGTTATGACGTGAATTCGTGTCGGAACAGCAAACATGAGATTTTAGACAGCAAAACATATTTTATTGATGCTGACTTCATTCCTTTGGGATTGCATATGTTATACCCCTACCCTTGAAGTTCTATTTTGTAATAAATATTCAGTGACTCGTACATTATTTTATGTGTAATAGATTTATTATGTACCAAAATAACGGTGGAAATTAGATGTGACTATTTGAATATCTTGTGGAAATCTTGTTTACGCTTCCATTGACTTGTGCGTTAACCACTGATCTATTAGGACACGGCAAGTCTGATGAAATTGTAGTTATTATTAAGACATAGTCGGGGTATTTGTAATTAGAATAATTAATAATAAGATATTCGTTTTTTTTTACGGTTACATTGACCAAAATCAAAGGTCCCGGCTGAATTCTTTTGTATTAGGTACTTAATAACAATGACATCGGCTGTTACGACTATCGGTTTTTATTTTATATCAAATATGAGTAGTCCCTTCAATAACATATTTTGACTGTGTATTAATTTAAACATACATACATTATTTTCCTTTTATATTATTATGGAATTATATATAACAGTTTGGAAATATTCGAGGAAATATAATATCTGAATTCATCTGAATATTCGTTTACCTTATATAAAAGTGACCTACTAAAGTAGGTCAAGCCGAAATAAACTCTATTGAATAATGCAAAAATACCAAAAATAGTAAATTCAAGCCTTTTATATGTATATTATTTTCATTTTATTATGAAAAACTAGGTCTTTTGGCGTACGCCAATGTTAGCCTTATATATGCTTATTTTAGCGGTTTAAACTAGTTTAAACATTGTATACAACGTATGTTATCAACAGAATTATATAAAATCAATTAAACATTGGAAGACCATGATTTTCCCGCGTTTGCCGTCACTACGGATAAAGTTCGGCAATTTGCCCATTATGTGTCGGCGAGATAATTATAGGAACTCGTTGTTGTTGGCACAATACCGCCATTAATCTCATCACTGATACAATGCGTTCGGGAATTCAGAGCCCGCTTTGATACTTAATTTATGAAGATACAGTTATCCGCTATTACTGCATTATAATGCCACTTGCAAGCTTTGATGTCCTTGCTATTTTAATGACTGTGTGAGAATAATGCAATGTTAAGGTGATTTGATTTGATCTTTGAGCTTCTGATGAGATTGTTTTTGAAGGTTTGGATGGATGTCAATTACGGTGTTATTGACATCAAAGTTGTCTAAATACATAACATTAACATACAGTAACCAACTTTTAAGGATCAATATTATAAAGATGTAAATCGTATTAAATACCAAAGATAAAACGAATAATTTATGAAAAATTTACTATCAAGTAACTTTTATAAACACCACCACTATGTAACCAGCCCACTGATATATAATCAATTCGACTAAGGGTCCTTCAAAGAAAGAGCGTTCCAATTCATTGCCACACCACGCCAGCCCACAGTCATTGGCGGTGGGCGGTGTCACTTAACATCAGATGAGCCTTCTGCCCGTTTTCCCTGTTCTATTAAAAATAATAATAAAGTATACACCAGTCCTATTCTTATTTTGACTTCAAGATTGATTTAGGTTATAAGGGTAATTTGCATAACATTTATCTTAATCCCTCAATTTACTAAACTCTTTTCAGGTACTTAAAATGCGTGAGTGAACACATGCGAGATATTCAACCATTTGAGGATGTGCCTTCAAAATTATCAGTGCAACTCCGACGAGCATTCGTCGCCACACGCACCTTCCATAAGGCTCTTCGCGCTGGGGCCGATGTTGTTAGAAATATGATACAGGTAATATGACATTCTGTGTATTTTTATTGAACTTAGATCTAGATCTTTCTGACATATTTGTAGTCATGTTAAAGTCTGAGTTGAATAAGTTTGTTTTGTTATTAAATTTGTAATTGTCTTTACAACGATATATGTATTACGATATACATAAACTTTATGCATCAGAAACTGGTTTTACTGAAAATTTCGGATGTTATCTTTGAAAATACATTCTTCTTCTAATAGTGATTTAAGTAGCCAATGCTACCTTGAGAAGGTTGGCAATCATCATGGCTACTTAAATTTTGGATACCGCGCTTCTATACAATGACTTGGTGCTTGGACCAAACCATTGTCTTAGGTTTTCAACCAAGACGTGCGCCAGGTCTCCTTCTACCTGCCACTTTGCCTTATATGATTAGTTGAAGAAGCTCGTATTTTTTTAATACATTAAGATAGGGTCAAATAGTTAATAGTTAAGTACATTATAATTGGGTGTGGGTACCAAATACGGTGGAGTTCCCCAAACACTAATCAGTTATGCTTTAATTAATACTACTCATTAATAAGTAGAAAATATAGAACCCTCTTTAGCATTTAAAGAAGAGCAAAGTAATAAGCCAACTTACGAAGCTTTTAAAGGCTTTTTTGGTTGTATTGAAATGGACTACATTTTCGCTAAAATGATTTTTAAGCTTGAGGTACGTAATATTGAAAAGTCGCAAGCCTACTTAACCTAGTTCGGTATTCAACGATTGTCGTAAGTTTAGTACGTGTAAGCTTTCATGTTTGTAGCCTTGTTTTTCCTATCTAAATACTTACTTAAATAGTAGTATCGTCTCGAGACTTAAATAAATGTAACTTGGGAACCTGTCTTGTTCTTCAATCTGGGCTAACGATGAGCAAAATCATTTTCAAATTAACGAGTTATGAATGCCAATTTCATCACTTCATCTGTTAGTATAAACAAAAATGAATTGTTCAATCCCAAACTTCGGTGTTTCGCATAGTCATATACCTAATATATAGTGCAGTGTACACATAAGTAACAAGTATTTTTTTTTATTTTTATATATAAACGTACTTTATTGACTTAGAAATCATTTGTATTCAGAATAGTTTTCTTAAATGTCGAACAGATATTAGTACCATTTTGGTTTAGTCAGAAACTTTTTATAGTCTTCCGATTTTGGCGAGCATTGTCTTAATAAATTCTACAGACACTCCATCTAAGATAAAACAATTGTTGCAAATCTTTATTCAAGGATTGTTAAGCCGTCTGGCGCCAAACTGAATGACACATAAAGTTCGCAATTAATTTTATATGAATGTTACGATGTCTGACACATTATAATTCAATGTTTTATTGTTTTCCATACATTAAATTAATTATGACAGCATTCATTGATCAATATGTAATAAGGTAGGTAATCTAATATATAGAATTCTCGTGTCACAATGTTCGTTCCCATACTCCTCCGAAACGGCCCGACCGATTCTTATGTAATTTTTTATGCATATTCAGCAAGTCTGAGAATCAACTACTATCTATCTTTCAAACCCCTAAGTTATAAGGAGTGTCCACCCCAAAAAATTTTTTGTTTTTATTTTTTTATGATACAGCATACAACCCGTAATTTTCACCCCTCTACTATCAACCCCTTTTTTATTTTAGTAGATAGTTAATATTATTCAACTTAAAAAAAGGTTTCCTAGGAATACGTTTGCCGGGTCAGCTAGTAATGTATAACATAATACAATAATCTTATAATTTTTTTTACTGTAATAAGATCTAAACGGAGACACAAAAAAGATAATTCCATAAATAAAAAAGATCGAGCACCTTACGCCATATTTCGACGGTAAAATTGCATAACATTTCGTGCCATTGAGGTGACCTTATTCAAATCACATACACACCAAACACTCATACAAAGCATTTCATCTTGATGATATCATCTTGAGTGTGAAACAATTAGCAATAACAATAATTAAAACGACCCCTGAATCTTTACTGAGAATTGGCAGCATGTGTGGTGCGATTTAATTACTTTATCACATTCGGCTGTAATTTTAAGAGCATTGACTTGTTGCTTATATGGGTTAATCTTTTCAATCAAATTGAGATCTCAGTGAACTGATTTGATGCGATAGATCATTTTATATTCGAATATCTATCACAAACCTTTCGCTTGTAATATTGTGTTATTAAGTGTTGCGTTGAACTTTGAACAGATATCAAAAGGAAATTATACAAATTCTTATAACCAAATTAACTTTATAATAGCATTTTCTCTAGGTTTTTTTATCCGTCACTTTAAACACGGGCATTACTTAATGTTGTTGTACTTTTGCTTGTAATCTAATTATTATATCTGTTATAATTTATTTCCCTTCGTTTCCAGGTGGGTGTAAAGCAAGAATGCGTATTAGCGTGGGCGAAACTTCGCTTCTGTGGCGGCTGCGCGGGTGATGCGACTCTCGCCTGTAGTAGATATTGCCACAACGTCATTCGAGGGTGTCTGCCTGCTCATGCCGATTTGAGCGAGCAATGGGATGCTTATGTTGGTCAGTATATATATGCGTTAGAGATTCAAGAGTCTGGCTAATGAAAGAATATAAAGAAAAAGCGCGGCAAATTCAAAAAAAATTAGTATGGTATCCCTAAAAGTTAGATATTTTGTGGATTAAACTTACTTGATACTTGATTTTTTTTATTATCTTTTACGTTGATAGTAACTGTATTTCTATGAAATTAAATACTATACGTATTTAGTCTTTTAGTATTGATACTTAAAATGACTAGCATTGCATGGAAAACTAAAACTATATTTATTATAAAACAACAACAACAACTTTATTCGGAATAATCAAAATAAGAATTCAAAAATCAATAAAACAAAGTTTAGGAATAGCCTAAACTTTGTTTTAGTTACCTGTTACTCGGAAAAAATATATAATAGAAATAAAAATGAGTAATTGCATGAAGTATCAAGACAATAAATCATCCTAACCTAAGAAATTCATAGACAACACAGAATTGCCATCGAAAGTTTTCAAATAATTCAATTATCTTCTTTCATTAGCCAGACTCTATCTCTCAATATTTTTCTTTTTTAAAATTACAATAATAGCTATATCCGCACTGATATTGTAGCTAAAATAAATATATTATGCGTCGCCTCTGTACTCGTATCTATGATTTTCTCCTGCTTTGTATATTGAACATCTCTTCATAATTTAAATACATCCTTTCCAGATGCCGTTGAAAAAGTGGCTGACCGTCTTCTTGGTCCATTTAACATAGCCATGGTGGTTGGTCCAATCGACATCAAAATATCTGAAGCAATCATGAGCTTCCAGGAGCACAACCAAGAGATATCCCAGAAGATCTTTTCTGGTTGCGGAAAGCCGGTCTTAGGCGGTTCAGGTGGCAGTACCGGCCCATTCTTCGCGCCAGACAGAGCCAGACGTTTCGCTCGCTCCATACCAGACTTCGACTGGAATAAGTCGAATGACGTGGACGATTTCGTTATAGAAACGTCATTGGAAACCGTTGTGAATAACGACCCGTCGCTAATAAGCCTCCGGACCCCGGAGGATATTCGTAAAGCGACGGAAGAGTTGAAGGAACAAGCAAAATCGAGATCTCGGTTCCTTCAGTATATGAAAGGAGATATAAGCTTGCAGCAGTTCGAGCAACATGAAAGAGAAAAGAGAGATGCAGAGGCAGGGGATATCGACTTTAGAGCGTTCGAGTTCGATGGGAAACGAGGCTCTAAAAAGAAGAAGCCAGTTGCTACCAAAGTTGAGGAGAGTCATGGTAAGGAATTTGAGAATATAGATGTTTTTTAATTAATATTACATGATTTTTAAGAGAGGTTTAATAAATCATTATTGTGTTTTTTAAATATTTTCCTGTTACTATCAAAATCCAATCAATAGGTCATTCACAAGTCATTAATCTGACGTCTTATTATTAATTCAAGCCAAGGTCACCGCATTAGTCAAAAACTATCTTATGTTCCGAATATATATATATATATATAATATAATAAATTCAAGAATTTATAATATGAATTATGTAGCAAGTAATTTCTATAAAGGAATGTATTTGATTCATCAGTCGGAATTATGAATTGAATAAAGTTTTTAATTTATACTGGTATTTCAGGCGCAGAAGGCGGTCCCGCGTTAGAACGTTTAGTACGTGAAACGCGTGCACGCGTTCGTAGTTCGCGTCGCTACTGGGCGCATCTGCCAGCGTTGCTTTGTGCCTCTACAAGTATTACGTCCGCGCCTTGCTTCAACGGAACCCATGTTGCTACGTAAGTTTTATGAATATTATATTTATACTTTATTACCTTATTCAAAAACATACACATAACAAAAATAAAAAGAGGCACCCGCCTTCGCTAACAAGCGATTTCTTCCAGACAACCCTTATGTGGAACAATGAAAAAGAAACACCTACAGAGGGTAGAGTACAAGAAATGCAAAAATAATTAACAAAAAAAAACTCAAAATAACACATAAAATAAAATAAAATCTAAAGAAAAAATAACAATAATAATAAACAAAAATTTAAAAGCCAATAAAAAAGCAAATTGAATAACAATAATTAATATATATAAGCAGAGCTAATTACGAGGCAGAAAGAAAATGATCAAAAAGAAGCTTTTTAAATAAATTTAAAGACTGAGCTCGTCTAATATCAATAGGTAGGGAATTCCATACCAGGATACTTTGCACAGTAAAGGAAGAACGTATTTACTTTGTAGGAAAAAAGTTTTAGATTTAATTTTTTAAATTATTTATATTATTAGTAAAACAGACACAGACGTACTACTGACTCGCAGGATCACCCTTTAGATCCAGTTCCCATTCAAACTAAATATTCAATTTTGATTATTATTTGGCATAAAAGTTAGTACTAGTTTGTTTAACATGATTTCATTATGGAACATAAGATACATGTATCACTTACAACACTTTGGTTTAACATGATTCCCTTATGACTTATATGTTTTCCTTTAGGTACACAGCAATCGCAGCAGGAGATGGTACTGCAGCGCTTGCTTCGAACCCAGAAGTGCGAGGACCGCCTCCACAGCCATCCGCCGTTGCAAGAGCACAACTTGATTCTCTCAAGTCTCTTACTGCGAGACTTAAAGACGCTTACAACGGCGTCGAAGTACAATGGAAGGATACAGGTTAGTGTTTTCTTGATGTTTATAAGGGTACATTAAGTTACCTATATTAATAAATTATATTTTGATTTAAAACTATTCAAAAGGCGATATATCTTTTTATTTTAAATCAACTTTTAACATATGTAGAATCAAAACCGTCATTTATTATTATGTGCTACAAACTTATGTCTTTGTCTCAAATATAGTATGTATTGAGTCAGGTTAGGTGATTTCATGATGGCCTCCTATCCAGGCTGTAGTATATTTTGTACAGTGTAATGAAATAAAAAAATATTATAAATAATAAATATTGAAGTATAGAAGAGATCCGAGAATCATCTCAAATTAAAATTTACAGCTGAAGACTTACAAGCAGCAGCTGCCAGCGACGACTTTGTGGAAACTGCTGGATCTGGATCCGGCTCCGGAGACCACACCGACGACACTGAAGACCTACCTGATGACGATGATGAAGACAGGAACCCTGATAGCGATTATCCTGAAGGTAGGTTAAAAGACTACGTTGCATGGAATATTAAAAATATTTAGTCTTTAAACTTATGGTCTGAACCCCGGAACCAATGTGCTCATTAACACTCCCGGTGGAAGGAAACATCGTGAGGAAACCGGCATGTCTTAGATCCAAAAAAGCCGACGGCGTGTGTCAGCACAGAAGGTTGATCACCTATTAGAAAAAACAATGATCAGGAAACTAAATATAGATACATAAATCTGAGGCCTAGCCTAAAAGGGTTGTAGCGCCACTGGTTTTTTCATGGTTATTATATACATTCCAATTTCTTCGTATATTTGTAGAATCTAATTTCATTAATTCTAAACCGAAATCTTATGTTTTTTGGAATAGTGATGTCAAAATCTGTACATTGGCTTCAATATTTTTCACAATATAAAAAAATAAAAATGAAGTTATAATTTAAATATATTCTATCCTTGTAAATAAAAATACCTTTAAACTTCCTAGGATCTGGCGAGCACCAGCCGGAAATCGATACTACCGAGCCGGAACCAGAAAACCGGCAACCCATACCACAAGTGCCGTTCGTGCCGTCGATCATCGACAGTCCAGATTCAAATAATGTTCAGCCACGCGTCCATACCGAATCAGGTATTGATCCGGTCGAAACCGAAACAGTGGAAACCGCTCAAGAGGAACCGGTTGCAGGGTCAGCGGACAGACTGTCACTCCATAAAGCTCTATTTACGTACGCCCTCCCAGTTGTATGCGCGTGGTTCGGTACTATTGTTACTGAACTGTTTTAAATCCCCGGCGTCTGCATTTAACATCGCAAATTGGTAGCTAGATGACAACTTAATGAAACATATCAAATGACAAACAAAAAACATTTTGGCTTGACTCTAATTTCTACTACTAAATGCGCTTTACGGTCAAACACCTCTTCGTATACAGTCCTGGTATCAAGGAGTTTGTTTAGTAAGTATAAAGTTTATATATTCTGAAGTTCTTCAGTACGGAGATCAAGAGTTATATGGTTTGAGTTGTCATATATCTATATCGTAAACGAGTTAGCATAATAATTTATTATAGTATAGCGTCTCCTATAACATGTTCCGTTAAAAGCGAGTGCGTCGGAAGACCTAGTCAAGAAGTCAGTGCGCGAACGCCGTCTTACGCGCGATATACAATACTCAAAGGCCGATCAAATATACCTTACTCTTTCATTTAGCACGCATTAAACAGAGACAACAACAAATTCATTTCTATATTTAATTGGCTTTTGCGTATTTGTAAGTTCTGTCAGTGCGTAGATTATCCACAGGTTCGCGGGTGAGTGATCGACAATAAACTTTATCCCAATGAATATTAGGTCGTTGTTAGAGAATCAGCCAAATTGTGTATTTATTTAATGATCTTGTAAATATTATGTAAATTATAATCGAGTTAGATAGCGAATGTTTTACGTCACTTCGTATGATCTTAGCCGAGCTCGCGCCATGTTTTAGAAGCGATATAAATTGGGAATATGTAAATATTTTGGCGCGAAATACGGTGTAATATGAAATGTTTTAAATTGTAAATAAATTAGTCGTTAAACTAATTATAAGTTGAGACTGATTCGCTTTTCTTTTTATTCTCGTATTTTTTATGTAATTACACACTATATAAAAATCGATTTATTTGTAATTGCATTTTATTCGTCCTAAGGTTAACCGACTGACGTTTAGGTAAAATTGCTTTATTAATTTTATTTTAATGCGTTGATATTTTATTTAGCTTCCAGTAACTCATACTGTATATAATTTCTAATAAATGTAGACCTTTTCAGTCTTTTTGTGAGTTTTAGGTAGCGTAGGCGTTAACTAAGATCTTTATACCATTAGTCATTTTTTACGCACAATAATGAACTAATACGAATGTAATTAAATATTATGTTTGAAGGCATATTTAATCGTGCAAGTGTGGGACCAAAAACTAAATTCTTTATCAATATATTGTGCCATCTACTTAATAATTGAACGCTGTACATTCTTCGCATTTCAACTAACTTGCACATTTATTATTGCCATGTTTTATATTTTCACTTTTCATAGCTTGCAATACCGTATAAGCTTGTATGGTAAAACGTTAAATATATACGGAGAAAATTACAATTAAGGATTTTGATGTTGGCAACATTAATGTTTTACCGCCCTCGGTAATATTATGTAAATAAGTACATGTTCAATGTAATCTGTGTTTTAGGAATTAGCTTTTTTACAGTTAAACAGGGTACAGTAAAATATCGTACTTTGATTCATGATACAATTTTGTCAGAAAGCCTTATTATAAAATAAACGGTTAAAAATTCAGAAACTACCGATATACGTAAATTAGCTCATATCAGATAAATCTAGCTTTGCCTTTAAAATATATCCTAGATTGCATATTTATGTTGTAATAGCTTTATTGCTTTGTATGATGAATCAATTATTGTCACATGAAATAAATGTTATGATCATGAATTAGTATTGTATGACAAAAATACGTACGTATAGGTATTGAAATCTTTTATAAAAATATTACGTAATGTAAATAAAATGGTAACATGTGTATTTAGTTGTTTTATTTTTTAAACTCTGTTAAACACTTTTAAAAACCAAAATTACCCAATGTTGCATTAGTTAAATAACTGAACGTTAATACTAAAATAGCTATTTCAATTCTTATTATTATATAATCTACTAGCGGACCCTACAGATGTCCTGTGCACACGTCGAAAACCCAGTGTTAATCTAAGAGCTTGTCCAGAAAGGGCGAATCCGCCGCGAAACGGCTAGCGCGAATTCATACGCGCGTTGGCGAAGTACTGGGAGCCAATACATCGCGTCCACAAGCATCGCGCGAATTTAGAATACGCGCGTAAATCGCGTGCACTTCGCCAGACCCTTGACTCGCGCTTGATACGCGCGTATAGCGCGCGAGTCGAGATACTAGGGACGCCTTGTTGCGTCCAGTTAACGCGCGAACTCTAAAGCTTCTTTCGTACTGAATAAAGCTCCTTAATTCCTCCCCAAATTCTCGCGCGTTGGTACGCATACCAATTTGGGGACGCAAAGGTCGCGCGTAATACGCCCGTGAGAATCGCGGCGAATTCGCCCTTTCTGGACAAGCTCTTAACCATTCTCGAGTCGTCGGAAATAAAAAAAAATCATTAAAATTGTTCCGGAGGAGTTCCATAACAAACACAGACACCGAAATACATATACATTCTAATTACATATAATATTTTATAGAGTGCGATAGCATCTCATGGTGCAGGAAGTCATACTTATGCATTGGAATTATAATGAAAATATTCTAAATCGCGCTATCAAATTAAAAGTAGATAACATCTTTATATCAGCCACAGGGGTCAGCCAGTTAAGTCTGGCCGTGGATATCACCTTTAGGTTGAAGGAATAGCACCTTCCTTCGCAGCCTTAAGCATGAACATCGGTATTGGTTACTTTACGAAAAAAATTAAAGGACGAGGAAACTTGTTTAAGTTAATCAGGTTTACACATAGGAATATAAAAAAATATTTGTATGGGTCTGGTTTGATAAAAAATTTACATAATATGTTGGGAGAAAAAAAACATTAATATGTTTTTTTCTAGCAATCTTTTTCAATAAAACTACATTTTGTTAAAACAAATATAATTAAAAATTGTTAAGCTTAATATTAGAGTAGTAAGTATATGCATTCACTCTTCTTCAGAATCTTCACTATCTTCTGTCTCACTCTCGGAACCCGATTCGTCTTCAGAATCCGAACCAAGCCAGTCAGGTAACTTAGGTTGTTCTATAATCGTCTTCCATTCGTTTAACTTGTGAAGATCTACATATAACACACAAATTCATATATTAAATAGGTATATTTTTACTGGCATTCAAAAGAACTGAAGCATATTAATATAAAAACTTTTAAAGAAAGTATTAAGCATTTTTCTATGTACCAAATACATTCACTTAAAGGTTTTACCTAAACTATACATATCCCCGAGGTAGAATTGTTTTTCATCCTTCTCCAACACTCCGCCGTAGACAAAGAGGGTAGATCTCTGCACGACCATCATGGCTGACATTCTTGGGCTGGGACCAGATTTAGGTTTCGGTGCAGCGACAGTTACTGTACTCTCTACTTGATTCGTTGCACCACCAAGTTTCATGGTAAATACTTCGTCTGTTACCACTGTAAATAAAGATTTTTTGAAGTGAAACTTCTTTATCGAGGTTGGAAAAAAATTTAGTGTAACATTTTGTTGTTACGCGTCACATTTTTCGGTTACGCGCCATGTTGCTTTTTGAAGTCAAACTTCTTTATCGGCGTTGGAATGAAACTTCTTTATCAACGTATGGAAGAAATTTTGTAGCAAATCGTCACGTTTTTCAATGATAGTAATAATTCTATTACAATTAATGAAATTCTATAATAATCTTCGTAGTAATAAGGTAAAATGAAATATTTGTATTCATGTCTATGATAATAAAAGCCTTTTGTTAAACTTTATCTAATTTAACGAATTTCTGTAAAGTTGCATATAGTAGATCATTTTTCGAAAAATAAGATCATAAAGAAGTTTCACTTCTTACGTGTGTACACCTAGTACACGGACAATTTATTTTAATAATATCGCGCATTAATGACTGCAGGAAAACGATAATTTAATATAGATAGTGTCAAAACCGTTTACGACGACATCGTTTAGAACAACATACCGGTTATATTGACCAAAATCAAAGGTCCCGGCTGTATTAGGTACTTAATAACAACGTCGGCGGCTGCTACAACTATAGGTTATTACGACCAAATATGAGCAGTCTTCGATGTCGCTATAACAGATTTTGACTGTTACTGTAAAATTAAACCTTGTAAGTTTATTTAAGTTATATTTTGAACGACATCGTCAATTTGTACATCGTTGTAATATGCAAGTCAATTGTAACCATAATATTATTTCAAGTTTATTAATCATTTAGAAGTTACAAGATTTTCAATATACACAATAGTATTCAGTGAATTACTACAATAAATACTGAATATTGATGGCTTTGGAACAATGAAGTAAAAAAATAAGAAACTTTACAAACAAAAAAAATATTATTCTTTATTTATTCAAATTATTATCTGTGTACAGTTGTTAATTATAAAAGTCGAAATTTGAAAGGACAAAACTGAATTTTATTTAGTACTATTAAATACCTGTAACAGCCTCTTCGGGAGATTCCTCTATTTTCTCTTGTACGGGAACAGGAATCGCCTGTTCCGTCTTGAGTATAACTGCATGCCAGCGACACGTCTCTAAGTCTATTACTTGAAGCTCATCACTCATATCCCCTCTGATGTCTTCTTCTGTCTCTTCTACATCCTGGATTTGATGGTTCACAATAAGATTAAGTGAGATTAAAATATTTAAAAAATCAAATACATATGTGTATATTTTACACTTTAACGAACACTTCATAGCAACTTGGAAGTTAGTCAGAAATCCTAAATGTGAGGTAAATTATACAGAGTTTAATCAGGGCATAACCTAAACATATAACGATTTCTGCGAGTTAAAGTCGTAATAACTTTACAAACCTTTCGAAAAGCGAAGCAAAAAAGAAGTTCATTTAATGGTTTTTCGCCAAATGTTTTCCTTTGGTGTAGTATATCTGTTTTTCAAACATATTTTCAAGATACTATACTTTTTATATGTGAGACTATACCGGTTATCTAATATCCGTTTATAAAGCAGTATTCATATTCCAACTTAAGTAATAGTGATATATTTAGTATTTTATAGATAAGGCAATTAATATTATAACATTTCATACTTACACAGACACCCCCAAACACATATCCTCTATTAGTGTGCATATTAACTGCAGCTGCTTGACCTGCGCGTGCGCTTGTTCCACCGGACAGTGAGCGCCATGACCAACTAGATCCTTTACAGCTAAGTTTGAACATGTCTGTATGTGTGTAAGTTCTCTCCGTTCGACCCTCTCTTACACGAGAGAAACCACCATAAACTATTAACTAAAATGATTTTTTTGTTATGTTAGATGACACGAAACGATGACATTTATCCATATGCGATTAAAATCTGCATTAGTTTTTAATAAAATTGCATATACATATAATATATTCCTTTTATTACCAATGTTATAAAGAAGTAAATTAAATAAAATAAATCCTTTTCTAATAGAAATATATCTGATTGAGTTCTAGAAAAAAATGATAATTAGGCATTATGTGTATAATGTCGTCACAAAAAAACAGTGACGACATTTGCCAAATTTTACATTATATTAAACAAAATTCTTCCGCCGTGCCTCTGTTCGCGATAAACTATAAAATTACTACAAAGGTTAAAGAAACTTACCCCATCATTACCCACAGGTAACATGACACAAGCTGATCTGGGACATGGTCCCCTTCCATTTGGTGCCAACTTTGCCCACTGTCTCGTGTCCAAACAGAATGTGTATATGTCATCAAAATACCGGCACTCTCTCCCATCATCTGAGTAACCTCCAAAGATACACAGCTTTCTACCTAAAAGTACCATTCTATGGCCAGAACGTGGAGATGGACCATTTGGTGATACAACCTAAGAAATCATATATTATTATTACTATTTGTAGATGTCCACATTTTTTAATAGAGTATAATATGTTTTTAATAAAGTCTATTAAGTATGAGTATGTGCATTAGTTTAATCAATTACCATCTAAAATTCGTAATATTACCGCGTTTAACCAATTCAAAAGGACATTAAAGATGAGCAGAATCAGTCAGAATGAGCCTAGTAGACTAAAATTGGGACGGCTGATGGCGACGTGTGTCTCGTTCGTAGTATATTAAGTTTCTCATGTAAATAAAATACATTCTTTTTTTTGTAATGAGAAATAAAGTTGTTTAAACATTATATTCATACCTTTTCCCATTTCTTTTCAGACAGCAAGAAGCACCACAAATCTTTATAATGATAGAATTGTGTTTCCGTGGGACTTGTGAACTCGCCACCAAATACCCATAATTCTCCCCTAAAATAAAAGTATAATTTTAATGTGAGAGCAATATACATATAGTAACTATGATGTTGTTGTATTCTTGTCTCGAAATACTCTTTGAAATGATCTCAAGATGTTTACTTGTTGGCCGGTGTTGCTACAGCTTGGTGTGCACTACGAGGTGGTGGTGCCCCAGGCGCCTTCACTTGTCTGCATGAATTATTTACCGGGTTGAAGAATAGCAAGTCATTGTATACTTCTGTCTGGAAAATAAACATTATATATATAATTAAAGTTAAGTTAATGTTTTTACTAAGTAAGAATATATTATATATACATAGGAATTTACTTTCTGGCTACAATATAGCCTTTTTTGTTATAAAGTTACAAGCTGTTGGTGGAGATGAATATAGTTTTATACACCACTAACCTGCTGTCCATTATGGTATTCACCTCCAAACATAATAAGCTCATTATTAGTTGGATGTGGTGTGAGTGAAGCATAGGCTCTAGGTGAGGGAGGAGCAGTTAGAGTTTTTTCAGAAGCTGCCGCCCTTTTAGCTTCTTCTCTTTCAATTTCTGCGATCACTTTCGATATATCTTCCTGCAAATATAGCCGACAGTCAGGTACACGAAAATATTGCATACACTTTTTTATTGCACATTTGCACATAGCAGTATTACTCCTTGAAATTGATATAGCACAGCATATAAAATAAAAACATCATTGGCTACTATATAATTGCACTGTGTTTGAATTTTAATGCGTCTTACCTGAATAAAATCTAATCTTTAACGTTTTGTTTATAAATTTCTAACCTCACCCAAGTCAGCCAGTTCCTTTTTTAGTTTGCTTGCAAGTTTTTTCTCAGTTTTTGCTGCAGTTTTCACAGCACCACTTATTTTATTCTTGTTTTTCTTTTTACCCATTTTTCTTATTTCGTGTTATATATGTTTTATGTAAATAAGCAAATATGCACACATTAAAATTTTTTTTTTACAGCACATTAAAATTTCAAAACTGCTTACTGCAGTCAAGACCAGACAGACTATAATATAATATAGACTATAGAGTTAAGAGTATAGTCAATTATAGGTCTACCAGGATCTGATGGCAAAAAGGGAAAAAAGAAATTGACGCTAGCAATACTGGGGAAATTGGAGTAAAACGTTTTGATACTTTTTTCCTTATAGCGGCTGATTTTGTGTGTGATAGTCTGATTGTGTGAGTCGAATGGGGTTCGAAACTTAGATGAAAACTCAAATTACTCTGTTCATGAGTTTATTAATTAATTAAGAACTTGAAAATGGTGCCAAATACTGCACATCCATAAAAAAGTCTTCATCGGAAGAGGAAGACGTGGAAGACGCAGTATTTATGATAAACCTTTCCTCCTGCATCTCAATTAACCGATCTTGTTCTATGAACTGATTTTCAATTTTTATTATATGTTCACAAGATTTTCGCCATTCATCGATCCCTATTTGAGAGAAAGCTTCTTCTGTTAACGATTTTATATCACTTGCAGGTCTATTGACGTTTTTAGCTGCAACTTTTTGTTTCATTATTCCCCAGATTAACTCTATGGGGTTTAACGTACAATGATATGGTGGGAGCCTCAAGACTTCGTGGCCGTGTGATTTTAAAATCTCATCTATCTGATACTTAGGTTCAGATTTATGATTTTTCACTGCTTCCAGTAATTGACATTTACGCCAATTATCATCGTAAGGGATATTGTTTGATTGAAGCCATTCTTTTATAACAGCAATACGGTCGGCTTGTGTAGGCGGTTTGTTTAATTGTACTGTGTACAGAATGATACTTGGCGTTGTCCATAACAATTAGAGAAGGTTTTCTAAGGTTGGGAATCAACTTCTCCGTAACCCATTTTGTAAAGTTATCTTTATTCATATCATGGTGGTAGTCGGCAGATGTACTCTTCGACCTATACACCAAACAACAGTTTGGCACAAAACCATTTTCTCCACCAGCATGTACAATGATCCATCTTGGCCCTGCCGAAATACTTTTAGATGGGCCTGCAATATCTTTATTTTGCCAGCATTTGTTTACTGAACATGAACCGTGTATGTAGGTTTCATCTAAATAAACCACATCTAGCTTATCATCGGCTTCTCGATTCTTTTGCATACGCTCTAAATACTTGAATCTGTGTATCTTTATGTCATGTCGCTCCATTAAAATAGTCCTTTTTGATTGGCACTTCACGAATTCGAATCCGATGTCTTTCAAAATAAGTCTGAAGACAAAATAAGATTGTTATTTTTAGATTACTATGTTTTTAGATTATATTCAAACTGAAAGAAAATGAAATTCATTTTTGTTACCTTAACGATTCTCTTCCTCCATTGAAATTGATTTCCTCTCGAAGAATTTGTAGCAATTTCATGACAGTGGGTATTTCTTTTCGTACAGTGTAAAACTCATTTATCTTGTTTCTGATCAAAACTAAATCAAAACTATCCAAGTTAATTTGTTTTCTGCCACCTTTCCTCTTTTTACCGGGCGTACTAAATACTCCTCTATTAGATCTGCCTTCAGCAACAATTCGTCTTATGGTAGTATTAGAAACCCCTGAAATAAACCAAAGTTTAGTATAAGAACATAATATAATATTAACGAAAAATCCAATAAACCAAAGTATCAAGAAGTGTCATTCCTACTAACCAGTCAACGCTTGCACATGGTTCAATATCGATGATTGTGTATGTTCTGCACCTTGTTGATCAAGTATTCTTTGATAAACATTGAAAACAATACTTCTTGCTTGCGATCGAAGAGGTTTCTTCGACATTTTCACCACTTTTTAAAGGAAATTTGAAGCCAAAACAAAAACAATTCCTCGAAATTTCAGTTGACAACTGAATTTTTTTTTTGTTGCCATATGAAAATCGCTAATTTTTAAAATTTTTTTTTGCCATCAGATTCTGGTAGACCTATAGTAAAGATTGATTGATTGCATATTTCTTGATACTAATGGTGCGTTCCACTAAGCGTTCACAACGCTCACGCTCACGACCGCTGATTTCCCCATTCCACCTTGATTGTGAATGTTACTGTCGTTAACTCAAGTGGAATGGATTATGGACCGTTTCGGGCGTTCATGTAAATATTACAAATGTCAAGTTTGAAAATAGTAGAATTTTAAAACTCTCTAAAGTCTCTTCAATAAATTCTTGATCTACTTGAACAGATGCGGAAGCTTCAGCTTTTCTTAATAGCTCAGTTGCAAAAAATACATCTGCAAATAAAATAAATTTACCAAATATATATATATATTATTAATGAAAATATATATCGTTTACATTGAGTTAGGTTATGCTATCCATTATTCAGGAAAAATTTATAAATAGCTGTTGAATATAAACTAAAATCAATTGTATTAAACTTATATTGCATAATTATATTTACCTCTTTCTGCACGAGCAGCTTCAGCTTCAGAAACGATAGCATCTACAACAATTTCTCTTTCTGAATCAAATAATGTGATTTTTCTTGTCGCCATCTTTAAGCTTTGAATATAATAATATTATTATTTGTCATATTTCAAAAAAAATCAAAAATTGCGCCTAATTATTCTCAACGTTCACAACGACCCACCTCTTTAGATGGGTCGTTGTGAGCGTTGCGTGAGCATTAGTCATGACGTCATGAGTGACGTTTTCGCCGTGACCACAACGACCGCGGTCGGTATGTGGAATGGCTAAAGGAGCATTTTGATCGTCGTGAGCGCTTAGTGGAACGCACCATAAATAGGAAGGATTTGGACTTCTTATCATAGGTCGTTGACGCAAACACCTGACACTTGACAGACTGTTCACATATTATCCATGTCTCTGACTGACTACTGACTGTTCAAATGAACAGTCATCAACAGATGTTAACTGTAAAGTCAAAAGTGTAAAGTATGCTGTGTGAACTGTGAAGACTGAACCTTATTCTAATTATGAATGTGATAAAAGTTTTCAGTGATTAAAACTCGAAACTTAGTAATATGCTTAATATTAAACAACATTAATATTTTCCTTGTATTAATAATTATAACTTCCTAGCTAGATAATTTATTCTTCAATATGAATGCTCCAATAGCAGGGGCTTCGGTAAGTATGACCTATAACGTGTTGCTTAATTTAAATTAAATAAAAATAGTGAAAAAGTGGCCTTTTACGTCGACATACCAAACGATACGTGATATTAAAATAATTTATATAGAGACTGAACATAACATTTTGACATTTAATTCATAAGTTCTTTTTTTTTTCCTAAGATTTTCTCTTTAACCTTTATATTTAACAGCAATCGGCATCAGTGCAGGAGTTCAAAATCAGAGTGCCTAAAGATGGACAGAAGAAATACCATGTTATGCGTTTCAATGCAACTCTTAATGTAGATTTTGCCAAATGGACACATGTCAAAATGGAACGAGAGAATAACATCAAGGAATATAAGGGAATGGATGAAGATATGCCTAAGTAAATAGTTCTTATATTTGTAATATTGTGTTAGCCGTGTATGTGAGGCCATGAGTATTGTGTTGAGATAGAAACCAGATATATATCTGTACTTAAAGGTTACAATTTACTTTGAAATTTTTTCTAAAGTTTTCCATCATACTCTGGATAATACATACATAGTCAATGAAGCAGTGTATGTGAAATTTACGATAATAGATTTTTGAACATACTTGTTTATTTATTTAATTTTACTTTAAAACAGGAATAAATGTAGTGATATCATCAGATGATATATTTTTCTGTGAACTCAAGATATATAAATATAGCCCACTCTTATTATAGTCTTTTGTAGATATGGTGCAGGCTCAGAGTATGGACGAGGATTAAGAGAAGAAGCAAGAAGGAAGAAGTTTGGAATTATAGCTCGTAAATACAAACCGGAAGATCAACCATGGATATTAAAAGTGGGTGGGAAGACTGGGAAAAAGTAAGTATGGGAGAAGTATTCTAACAATATAGCTACTATTTAAATAGGAAATAAAATGCATTGAAAAAGCATGTATATGAAAAATTATTAATTCTAGGTTCAAAGGAATTCGTGAAGGTGGTGTATCAGAAAACACTGCATACTATGTCTTTACTCATGCAGCTGATGGTGCAATTGATGCATATCCACTACAAGAATGGTACCTTAATTTACTTTTAATTTATATTTATAATTATATCATACCTCTTACCACATTATAGGATTGGAGGTAACAAAATATAAATTACTATCAATTAACCCAAGTCTACTTGACTAAAGTAGTAATAATCGATTAGAATTTGTGTATGATAATTGCATATTTTTTGCAGGTACAACTTCCAGCCAATACAAAGGTACAAAGCTCTATCAGCAGAAGAAGCTGAGCAAGAATTTGGAAGGTTAGAGTTTGTATAAATTATTCTTCATACAATCACCAACGGAAAGCCTAAGTCCTCTTTCAGGCTAAATGAACCTTCAGGCTTTTGTTATTGATTGACTCGATTTGTCCGTGAAATCATCCCCATGGTAATTTAAACATCAATTTTTTTTATTGTTACAAAAGAAGTATAATGTAATTTCATTTGAATATCACATTGTTATTTAAAATCTATGCCTATACAATATAATGTGGGTAAAAACTATGAGGGATATAATTGTCTGTTATGGCAGCCCTGGTACCTCACTTTTCTTTTTCCAAAGACAATACTTTTCAGACGCAACAAAGTAATAAACTACTTCTCGTTGATGTTCCGGAAGCGCATGCGGGGGGATGACGCGCAAGATGAAGAGGATCCAGATGAGAAGAAAACTAAAACTTCAAAATCTAAAAAAGGTATAAAGCCATACCACACAATGGCAATTTCAAAACAAAAAAACTGTATTAATTTATTAAACTGAATTGTCAAAGTGACACCCTGAAATAATTAAAAAAAAAAATTAAAGAGCACTTTACATTGGCTATAGATAGCTAGCAATATTTAATTTTACACTTTGGTCTTTAATTTTCCACTGCTTGCTTGGTCAAGAACTGTTGAATTGAAGCATATGTATGCTGCATTACTAGAATGTACTAGTACTCTAACTAACTTTAAATTCATGATATAAAATTTTAATTTCAGAATTAAAAATCTCCGATATGGATGAATGGATAGACTCGGATGATGACTCTTCAGGCTCAGAAGCAGGTGACAAAGAGAAAGAAGATAGTGATTCTGGTACTAAGAAAAAACCCAAAAAAGGTAAGCTAGGATGCCTACAGTTCTATCCAAGATCCACTTAAAAAATTATTCAAAAATTTTCATGAACTACTTTCATATAATACATTGACTAAAATTATATTTGAATTTATAGGGATTATAAGTGTTTTCAACTTGGAATGTGGAATTGTTAGTTAATATTTTAATTACTAAAGAGTGGATCTATCAAAAAAAAATCTACAGCTTCGAAGATAAACATATATGCAAGTTAAATAATAATTTATCTTATAGGTGCTGTAGCAAAAAAGAAGAAGAAAGTAGAAGATGAGGCGTTCGAAGAGAGTGACGATGGGGACGAAGAAGGCCGAGAAAGAGATTATATATCAGACTCATCTGATAGGTATAGGAAATCTGACTGCTTTTGTCTTCTAAACGATATAAAATACTTTTCTCAATGTTTCTTTACAATTTATAAACTACAAGGTGTTTGACTAACTTAAAACCTACAAAAGAAATAAAAACTTATATTTAGGTCCGATCAAAGTACAATTGATCCAATTATGAATACAATCCAAGTCTATTACATATAAAAAGTACTCCTAATTTATGTCTTCTTCCAGTGAGTCAGATCATGAGACCAAAGCAAATAAAGAACTTAAAGGCGTCGCCGAAGAAGATGCTCTACGGTAAACATATTTGCTTTTCACGTAAATAAACGACCACAGCACAATACAATATTAGCTTTTTAATAATTACTCGGTACTTTTTCAAAATAAAAAAAAAACTCTTTTATCAAATTTTTTTTTATAATTATTGATTTATTAACCTCCTGGTGCTCCTAATTGAATTTCAAGAGATATTTTTAAAAATAAATCAAAATACTATGATGGTTATAGAATCTTTAATTCTAATACAACTTTTTTTAAAGTTTACGCAGAAATATTTACATTTAATTAATTTGTTAAACTTGAAAACAAATGCATAACACAAATAAACAACAACAATGAATGATAAACTGATGTATAGTAATTTAACACACACAAATCAACAACAATTTATTATTTATATATTTACTATTATATATATTTTACAGAAAACTCCTAGGATCTGACGAGGATAGTGAAGAAGACGAAGAGCAGAAACAAGAGTCTGAACAAGAAGATGAACATACAAAGGAAGGCGAGGAGAGAGCCAGCAAACTCACCAAGAAGAAGAAGAAACCGGATGAAAAGAAGGGTGAGTTATTGAACTCACTTAAATAGCGTTTTCTACGAAGTATTACGTTAATTTTCATATATTTCAAGTTCCATCAAACTCTAAAATAAAAGCTTATTTAAATATTATGGATAAAACATAGTTTTACTTACTTTAACTATCCCATGCTATGTCGGAACGAATAATTAATTGCCCCATACTATATTGTTCAACATTCGCAAATCAAAGTCCTTACGTTTATTCTATGCGCGCGAGTTTCTCACTCTTTCTTGCGCATTGTGAGATTATATAGCCATCCTTTTCTTGCAATCGCCGAAGACGAAAATATATTAAATATTTTTCTTTGATATTAGGGCATTTGATACTAGTAACTGCTGCGTTAATTAGGCATTGTTTATACAATAAATAAATAAGCAAATTTGAACTATTTTTTCCAGAATCTGAAACAGAGTTCAGCTCAGACTCTGATACAGACCCGGAGAACACTTCAAACAGCAAGAAGCCCAAGAAGAGTAAAAGCCATACTGATAAAGGTAACTAAAACAAGATTTCGATGATTGTTAAGAAAAAAAAACACAAAAAATACTTAACAACTTTACTAACAGAATAGTTCAAGACTATAAATATATGATTAAAGAAGGGGGAAATATCTATGATAACCTATTGCAAAATGTTTAGAATCGCTCCGCGAAACTGATTACTTAATGTAACCAAAAAAAGTCTTCTGTATTATTTTTTTACGTAAATTTACGCATTTATAGAATACAAAGCGAGAGTCTAAAATATTTTACATTTATTAATTTATTTATTAAAAATCAATAATAGCATAATTTCTAAATAAATAAAATTCCCTGAAGCATTATTAGTTCAACGGCGTAACTACTAAACGCAAACTTTATTGGAATTCCTCTAGTTTATTTTGAAGGCCAAAGCCTACAACATAGCCTTTGTATTTATTAATTTGTCAATTCACAGGAGTTACTTATACATTAAAAGTACACAATAGCTAATACAGCATGCACGAAGTAAATTTAAAAAATCTATTGTCTATTAGTGGAAAGGGAAGCGAATCTGGTAACTCATATAAACTGTGTTTGGTTTTAGAGCCAAGAAATATGTGTGTTTTTAGGAGTTAAACAAATAATGAGTAATTTAGATTAGTTACAGAAATATTGTAAATAAAGATTTTTGAAGGTTGACGTAATATGGTTATTCTAGTGAGTATACGAAGACATGAAAATATCCTATTTTATACACAGACACGGTTTATCTACGACTTATGTTAATTCATCTCCAAGTGCAATAAAGCCTATTTTTATAGCAAGTGCAGCGGGTAGCGCCAGTACGTCCCGCGCCGGTACCCCCGTCCCCAGCGCTGCTCAGGCGGCTGTGGCCGCTGCTAATGCCAGTTCCGCTAACCAACCGCCAAGTAAACGAGCTAAACTTGATTCGAACTATAGGTGAGTGATAGATGTGGAGTTGTGTATATCGGTTTAATCTACGTTATTTATAATAAAAAGAGCCTACCATTTTTTAAAAAGGCCGGCAACGCATTTGCTTGCCTTCTGGCAATGTGAGTGTCCCACGGGCGTGGTATCGCTTAACATCAAGGGAGTCTTCTGCCAGTTTAACTCTGGCCCGGTTTTATTGAAAATCTATGTAAAGCGAAACGTGGGTTGTATGACTTCAATGAATTAAATTAAATTGTGAAGATTACTTACGTTTAAAAATTTAAAGGTTAAATTAAACAATAAAATCGTTAGATATATATTTTTTTTATTAATAATTTAGTATACGATTATTATCCAGGGCCGTAAACATTCCATGTTTATTAAGCCACGGGTAAATTGTTCCAAATAAATTATTAGATTTTTTCTTACAGCGAATGCGGCGTGACAGAAGAAGCAGTACGACGTTACTTAACACGTAAACCAATGACAACTACGGAACTTCTAACTAAATTCAAGTCCAAGCGCACTGGAGTTTCTAGCGAACGTTTGGTGGAGACAATGACACAGATATTGAAGAGAATTAATCCTGTCAAACAGAATATTAACGGGAAGATGTATCTTAGCATTAAGCCAACTTGATTAAATAAATTGTTTGTTATCTGTTGTTTTATTTTTAAAATATTAATAATTATTAAAAAATTTTATTCAAAAATATTATGATACCCATTTATACTCCTAATAAATACTACCTTGCAAATTAAATTGCGATAATTGCACTCTCAGAAGTGGTTTTCGTCTCTTTCTATCAAATAGTATTTCCGTTGTAATGGAAAGAGATGAGTACTTAAAACGGATAAGATATAAGAGAGATAAGACTAGACGGCATTTATATTGTATTGTGTTTTTTTTATAATTAGGTTTAATGTAATTAAGAGTCAAATAATGTAATTATAGTGAAAGGTCAGTACATCTTTATTGTTTTTAGTTCAGACAACTCCTACTTAGATCAAATCAAATCTACAAGGAGTGATTTTGTTTAATTAGTCTCATAAATAATAATTTAAATTTGTTATAAGATAAGAGATCTTCTTTTACATAGATCTTTCTGATTCTGCATTGTTTCTGAAATAAAATATATATTTTTAGTAAGAAGCATTGATATAGTGTTAATATTGTAGTGTATAATATATTCAAATCAGTGTTATCACTGACATATTGCTATATTTGCCCTTTCTAGGAACGTTTAAACAAGGAAAGTAAAGACGGCATCGCAGGCGTGGCGGGTGATCGACATAGGTAATCAAAAATTTTTCTTCCTGGAAGGGGGGAATCAGAGCCCCGGCATTGGTTTTTTTTAAAAAAAACGTGCGATTCGACATATATTCCTCGATTTAAAGTAATAAACGCATCGAATCGGGCGTTTGGAAATTGTTAGGCCAACGTTTTATTCATTTACCCGCATAGCGTGTTAGTCTGAACAATTTTCTCGCCGTCTATTATAGTCTGTGGCATCTGACGACCTTTTGTCTCTGGCAGTAGTAGGGTGATGCTGCCAGCGCTTAATGAGATTCCCGATATGATGATAAA